TCTTGTAGTTTTAAGGTATGATACATCTTTAGAAGGGAGGGGGGGTAGGGGTCGGCCAAGGAAGGGTTGGAGGGAGGTGGTAAAGGAGGTTTTGTGTGCGAGGGCCTTGGACTTCCAGCAAGCATGCGTGATGCGTATTTGATAGGAGTGAATGGAGACAAATGGTTTATAATACTTGACGTGCTGTTGGGGGTGTGAGCAAAGTAACATTTATGAAGGGATTCAGGGAAACTGGCAGGCTGGACTTGAGTCCTGGAGATGGGAAGTACAGTGCCTGCACTCTGAAGGAGGGGTATTAATGTTGCAGTTTTATAACTGTAGTGTAAAGCACCCCTCTGGCAAGACAGTGATGGAGTGAATGGTGATGAAAGTTTTTCTTTTTCGGGCCACCCTCCCTTGGTGGGAATTGGCCAATGTGTTAATAAAATAAAATAACATCTTCTAGAATGGATTAATACTGTAATTCAATGGGCCATTGTAATATGGCTTCTCTCTTATACATTGACTATAATAGCCATTATACGGCAAGCACTCCTTGATATTTTTTAACACATCAGCCATCTCCCACTGAGGCAGGGCTAACCCAAGAAGGAAAGAAACACTTTTATCATCACTCATTCCATCACTCACTTGCCAGAAGCATGCTGATAGTACAGTTCAAAACTACAACATAATCTCTACCCTCCTTAATGGATATATTATCTCTACCCTACCTTTCTGGTTGGGGAGCCCATATGGCCTTCACCTTCATCTGAGAGGGCATATGATGCTCTTCGACCACGTGTTGAGGTTAATGCTGTGTGATGTGCAGGAGAGGTGGTGTGTGGCGATGACAAATGGTGTGGAGAAGTTGGAGATCTTTGTAGTGGAGAGCAGTGCGGTACAGGATGAGATTGCTGAAATGTTTTTTTAATATTATTTACAATGAAATCACTTGTTCATTAAGAATGAATGAGAAATGAAATTTCGATCAACATTATGAGCTGCTTTTAACCAGCAGCAGCTCCAGAATTGTTATACTGAAGGGGTTTCTGGGTGGCTGTCTGGTTTCAAGAAGGGCTAAGGGACTGCATCTGCAAAGGAAGCACTGTTTTTGCCTAGTGTATATTACAGATTAGTTAAAAAACAATTATCCATATCAGAGAATAAGAACAATTATTCAAGGAGTATTTTGTCCAGTCTCCAGACAAACTCTCATCCGCCGACGATACCACTACATGGAATGACATTTTATTCGCTCTGGAATATATATCAGGTTTCTATGTTATTTATATTTTTATTATGTCATATTAGATGAATTGTGATAGATAAATGAGCTGTAAGAATGATATTAGGGAAAATTATTGAAGTATTTACTCATGCCTGGAATTCCACTGTAACGGATTAATTGCATTTCAATTACATAATTTAAATGAGGAAAACTGACTCTGCAAACGAGCAAATCCAGATGCGAGCAAGGTCACGGAACAGATTAAACTTGTGAGTGAAGGTTCCACTGTAATGCTAATATCAACTGTACGGCTTATTTATCTATCAAAAAATTGATTTAATATGACATATTAAACAATATAAAAACATAGAAACATGATATATACTCTAGAATGAATAAAATTTGTCATTATGTGACAAGTGGTGGCGGCCACTCCACAGGTAAAAATAATATCGCTTCTGACATATCATCCCATTTTTGCCCTTCTGAGGTCTTATTATAAGAGAAAACAGTGTGTTTGTGTGAAGCTAACTGCACTAGATCGCTAGTTTCATAAGGATAACACTGAAACAAGAGCAATTTTCTTGTGGTTTTTCTATGATTTCATGCTTTAATTCATTGGACATCATCCTCTTCTTCTTCTCAAGCACTGCCCTTTGCACTTACTTTCTTAGGACCCATGATTAGAAAAAGAAATTTGGCAAAATAACTGCACAAAAACCACAAAACGCTGGGATGCTGGGCAGATGATGTGGCATTCGCTGTGCCAACTAGTGGCGGTGTATCTGAAGCTCACTCGTAACTTGGATTTTGGCTCGCAACTCAAAGCAAAAAATCGACCGAGTGATAGCTCGTAACTCAGAAAAGTCGTAAGTTGGGGCACTTGTAAGTCAAGGTACCACTGTACTAGTGATATAGCTATGAGTATCATCAACTGGAATTGGTCAAAAATAGGGTGCAAGGTGTGCGAAATTGCCTATGCCTAAATATCACCAAGACTTCTAACTTTGCGAGAGCGTAACTCTGTAAATTTTCCATCAAATTTTGTACTTTTGTTTTCATTACCTTTTCTATCATTTCATAAGATTTAAAAAAAAAAAAAATTATCAATGGCCCTGAGAGCAAGTTTGAGATTAGAGGTCTCAACTCTGAAAGAGTTAAGCAACAGAATGATTTCATGCTGGCACACATATTAATCATGGAGAAAATGAATGGATTCTGATATTTTGGAGTGGACTTGTCAGCACATGGGTCTATGAAAGACGAGGTGTATCACTGAATTGATGAGGGAAACAAGGTGAGTGGTGCACTGAGGAGTCCATGGAAGCAAATAGAATGTATGAGAGTATAGTGGTACCAATGCTCTTATATGGCTGGGGAAGCATGGGTGGTGAATGATGCAACACAGAAGAAGGCTGGAGACCAGTAGAGATGTGGTGTCTGAGGGCAATGTGCAGTGTGAATAGATTAGGAGGTGGTGTGGGGTTTCTAAAAGTATTATCCAGAGGGCTGAGGAGGGGTTGTTGAGGTGGTTCAGACATTTAGAAAGACTGGAAAAAATAGAATGACAGGGAGGGTGTATTAATCTGTAGTGGAAGGAAGGCGGGGTAGGGGTCATCCTTGCCAAGGTTGGAGGGAGGGGGTAAAGGAGATTTTCTGTGTGAGGGGCTTGGACTTCCAACAAGCATGTGTGTGAGTGTGTCAGATAGGAGTTGAGACAACCGGTTTTTATGACTTGAAGTGCTGTTAGTGTGAACAAGGTAACATTTATGAAGGGATTCAGGGAAACTGGCTAACCAGACTTGAGTCCTGGAGGTGGAAAGTACAGTGCCTGTGCACTGAAGGGTGTACATATGTTGCAGTTTTTTAACTGTAGTACAGGCCCACCTCTGGCAAGACAGTGATGGAGTGAATGCTGATGGAAGTGTTTCTTCTTTTACGGGTCACCCTGCCTTGGTGGGAAACAGCCAATGTGTTAATAAAAAAAAAGTAAGAAAATAAAAAATATTCAAACAGATACCATCAAATAAAACATCAAAAACCTCTGTAACAGCATAAAATACCTCACAAACACTAAGAATATATGATAATAAATTCACCAACTAAAGTTTTATGCAGCTAAAAGGCAGGTCCCTTTATGATTATAAAAGCAAACTAATTTACTAGAGTGAAACAACAGAAAGATGATAAATCTATGCAACACACTTTTGATATACCTCTGATGAGTTCTTAGGAGTTTTTCTACTCCCAGGCTCATCTGGTGTTTGCCTGGCCAACTAGGTTGTTGCTGAGGGTGACCTGCTGATCTACATGTCCATCACAGCCTGGTTGATCTGGCACCTGGTGAAAATACTTGTCCAGTTTCCTCCTGAAGACTTCTACACTAGTCCAGCAGGGTTTTCCAATATCTTCTGGCAAGATGCTGAATAGGCGGGTGCACCCCTACCTTTCATTGGGCTTATTTTGCATTTCCTCCTATATATCTCACTCCAGTATGTTGCTATAGCAGTGTGCAGATTTGAGAGAGGGCCCCTAAGTACTTTCTAGTTATATATATATTAATGCATCTTTCTCTCCTCCACTCCAGTGAGTACATATTTAAGACTTTAAGGCATTCCCAGTAATTTAAATGCTTCATTTGCTCTGTGCAACAAGTAACACAGATCACTGCAGGATCAACTGCAAGCAGGTGGCAATGAATGAGGCAAGTATGCCCCAACCTCACAGTACACTCAACTCACAGTAATGGAAAAACACCCACTTATTGCTGAACCATATACAGGTCTCCCTCAACATTCGCGAGGGTTAGGGGATCAAGAACCTCGCGAATGTTAAAAAATTGTGAATGTTTGGTGACCCAATATATTGTAGGGAAATATAATACAATACTGATTCCTTAACCTATTGAACATGAACAATCATAAAACACGTAAAAACATCGTAAAATATTGTACTGGTGCCAGCCCTTTGGTAAAGGTGAGAAAAACCATAGAATTCAAGAAAGAACTCGTAGCAGAGTTCCAAAGTGGAGGAAGAAGAGAGAGGGGAGAATGTGCCTTCTTCAGTGATTTAGTGATTCTACGATATGTACAATACTAAAAGCAGCATAAATCGATAAAGGCTATTGGGCCAGCCAGCGATAAAGTATAGCATTAACCCTTTCAGGGTCGAGAGGCCCTCTCCTAAACTTGTTCTCAGGGTCGAAAATTTTTCAGGAAAAAAAAATTCTTTTTTCTTATGAAAAGATAGAGAATCTTTTCCTGATGATAATGACACCAAAAGTATGAAATTTGATGGAAAAACTTACGGAATTATGCTCTCGCGAAGTTAGCAGTCTCGACGATGTTTACGCATCAGCGATTTTCCCCACTTTGAGCCCTATTTTCGGCCAATTTCAGTGTACTAGTCGACAAAAATCATACTATTTCACTAGAACTCTATTTTTTCTATCAAATGTGTACAAGAAACCACCCATTTACCGATTTCAACTATCCAAAAGTGGTCAGAAACTAGCAATTTTGCCAATTTCACACAAATTTCAAAAGATGCCAATTTCCAAATAGGGTCCAGAATAAACAAGAAAGGCATTCCTGGCACTAAAATAACATTTCCTCTATTCATAGTCACATCCCCACACCCTCTTACATTTCTTTTGCTTTCCACTTTGAGTTTTTTATTCTTAGAAAAATAGAAGATTTTACTGTTATGCAGACCACTGCATTAGTGTAGAAATGGTATTAAATAATATCAGCGCACTTGTGAAAGAATATTAGACTCACCAGTTGATGTGTATTGGATGCGTAGCATGATTTGTTTACTTCTGACCTTTGGCAAAAATCGAACATTTTCTGCTATTTTGGGCTCAATTTCAAGGTACTTTTCTTTGTGAAACCAATCAAAATCGTCTCAATTTCTGTAATATGTCTTCCTATTCTATAAAATGAGACTAGGAAAACTAGAATACAATCATAAAATACCATATGAAAATACAGTGCAAAGTCGATGTTTTAAACCAAAAACACTGTCAAAGTTTTTTTTCTCATTACACACTGTTTGCTGCAGGATTTTTTTTATACTGCGCACACTGACCACATAGACCCATTCTTTCATATGTAGGCCTACCAGCTTTCTCTCACTAGATCTGAGGGCACTAGAATTTAGGCGTCCTAGTATGTCAATAACCATGGTGCGTAAGCCATACTAGTATGTCAGAAACCCCGAAAGGGTTAACAGTTTTAGCAAGTAAGTTTAGCGATTAATTGATAGAAAAAGGACAGCACGATCCTAACTCCTCCAATGTTGTTGGAGTTATACAGGGCAACTGACAACACTGCCGTCTCTAGTCTCTACTGCCTCCGATGCCCCCTCAACCACCACAATGTACGGCTTATGTCTCAGTGGCCCTTATACACCCAACAACAACAACACAGCAATACTCGTGACATACTTAATGACGTATTTTATTCATTCTAGAGTATATGTCATGTTTCTTTGTTATTAATATTGTTTATTATGTCATATTAGATGAACCGTGATAGATAAATAAGCCGCAGAGTTGATATTAGTGTCATATCGAAAGACTATCGTATCCTATCTCCAAACAAACTCTGCCACTGCCACAATTCATAAGATATGACATATTTTAAATATGATTGGGCGGCTGGGAATTTGTGAATGTTCGAAGCCCGCGAAAGTGGAAAACGCGAATGTTGAGGGAGACCTGTACAGCTTTGCTGCTCATCCCAGGCCCAGCAGGAATATCACTTCAAAATGAACATATTAATAAATGTGGCAATGTAGTAAACTTCTACAAAAGCATACTCAGAACAGCAGCCTTTGCTAAGTATGTGCCCATTCAATACCTAAACTCCCAATATCTTGGGCACCACCATCAATTTAAAGGGAAAAAGATACTCATTTTTTCCTTCTCTAAAGCAGTACAAAAGTAAACCACAGCCAAATAGTTTATTGTTTGCCATTTATCATCATTTTTATTAATATGTCAGCCCAAAGGGAAGGTGACCCAAAGAGAAAGAAAAAACTTTCATCTTCACTCAACACTTTCACCATCACTCATAAAATATCACTGTTCTTTGCAGAATTGCTCAGATTACGACAGTTTAGATGTCCCTCTAAAATGCCAATATCCCAAAAACCCCTCCTTTAACCCTTTCAGGGTCCGTCCCGTAGATCTACGGCTTTTCGGTGAGTGTCCAAACCATAGATCTACGCCAAAATTCTAGCGCCGTCAAATTTAGCGCGAAAGCGCTCATAGGCCTACATGTGAGAGAATGGGTCTGCGCCGTGGGTGTGCACCATAAACAAAAAATCTAGGCGCCTGCATAGCATTGTGGGAACGCCGCCTCATTCACCCTTGTTCACCATGCCTCGTCGCAAGTCAGCTCTCACTCCCCGGAAAACTGGGACTCTCCTCTTCCTGTCTGATAGTTCTGACACTGATGGAAGTGCAAATGAAGACGAATTCTACGGCTTTGATAAGTTAGTGACCGAAAATAATGACCAGGATATCGATAATAGTGCAGAAAACCCCGACGATCCTCGACCTTCTACCTCTGGTGTGGGCACTCGTGACTCACGGTCGGGTGTTCCTAAACGTAAGAGAAAACTAATATTTTCCCGTGGCCAGGCCTCTGACTTCAGTAATGACGATGATTCTGACGTGGATTGTGATTTTATTGCGCTCGACGATCATTCGAGTAGTGATAGTGAGGAAACATATTCACCAGTGAAGCGTCGGTATGTTCGCCGCCGCATGTGCTCGGGTAGTGTACCCTATGCTGTGCCCAGGGGACGGAGTACATCCCGGAGTACATCCCGTGGCCCTACACCCGTTTTAGGTAGTGATAGTGAGGATCATGTGGCTACACTTGGCATGGATGGGCCACAGGCATCAGTGGATGGTGTTAGTGGTGCTGGTGGTGGTAGTGGCACCGCCATGCGTGACTCACCGTGCCACGCGGGGACCCACGCTGCTGACTCGTCAGTTCAAGGACAAAGCGGAGCGTCACCCACCAGCCCGCCACAACCATAACCACCCGTACAACCAGCCTATGATGTCCAGTATCCACCAGCAAACCGTATCTGGGATTGGCAGCAAAATCCCAATTTTGTTCCCAGCCCTCACCACTTTGATGACTCTCAAAGTGGAATTCTACCTACCTGTCCCCTTGGAACCACGGCCAATGAACTGGAATTCTTTGAATTATTCTTTGACCAGCCATTGATGGAAAATTATTGTCAGGGAAAGTAATAAGTATTTTCAGTACACCATGGCAAATACGATCTTATCACCACAGTCAAGACTACACAGGTGGAAAGAAGACGACTGTTGCAGAAATGTATTTGCTTTTTGCAACAATAATGCTTATGCCTCACGTCTATAAGCATAATATAAAAGCATACTGGTCCACAGATCGGTAATTTTACCCCATCCTTCAGTGAAATAATACCAGTGAACAGGTTTATCTTACTGTTACGTAGTTGCACTTCTCTTTGACAAAACCAGGCCCTGACAGAAGTGACAGGTTATACAAGATTAGAAATGTTTTCATGTATCTCAAACAAAAGTTCAGGATAACTTTTATCCATTCAAGAATCTTGTAATTGACGAGTCTTTGATTTTGTTCAAAGGTAGACTGTCATTCAAGCAGTATATACCGAGCAAGAGGAACCGCTTTGGTATAAAATTGTTTGTACTCTGTGATTGTGACAGTGGCCTGGTGTTGGATATTGTTGTATACACGGGTAGTAAAACATTGAAAGATACCAAGATGTTATTGGGTATCTCAGGTGACGTAGTGAGAAACATGATGGCACCTTATCTTGGTAAGGGCCATACATTATATACTGATAACTGGTACACAAGCCCATTACTCAGTGATTTCATGTGAGTGAACAAGACAGATGTGTGTGGCACAGTGCGTTCTAATCGTAAACATATGCCCAGGCTCAACGCAGGTGTTCGTGGTGATGACGTGCAGGTGTTTACTGCCAATGACATCATGGCATTACGGTGGCATGACAAACGAGATGTCACATTGTTGACAACCATTCACCGTAATGAAATGCAAGACAGTGGCAAAGTTGATCGAGTGACTAATGAACATATTCGAAAACCAGTGTCAGTGATTGATTATACACAAAACATGCGCTTGGTTGACAAGTGTGACATGCAGATTGGTTTTGTTGACTGTGTTCATAAGAGTTACAAGTGGTACATGAAACTTTTCTTCTATCTCATGGACATTTCAATGCTGAATGCATATAATATGTATCAAATAAAGACTGGTAACAGACCCCGTATGGTGAATTTGTGTTTGCTGTTGTCAGACAACTCATAATGAAGTACCAGGTAACAACACCTGCAATACAACATGGTCCTCGAATTCATCACAATATACCCAAGCGTTTGAGGAAAGAAGGTGATCATTTCATAATACAGCTTCCTTCAACTCAAAAGAAATTTGCTCAGAAGAGATGCATTGTCTGTGCACAAACAAAACGACGGCAACAAAGACGCAAAGACACTCGGTTTATGTGTGAGGAATGTAAGGTGCCTCTGTGCATGGTGCCTTGTTTCAAGGAGTTCCACAAGCTCCAGCAGTTCTAAAACCATGTCCAGTGATTGTAAATATGTAAATATATGATAGAACATTAGTATTATACAATATTTGTGCATGTTTATTGTAATAAACAACAGTGGTAAACAATAAACTTTAGTGCGGTTATTGTGTTCAATACAGTGAGTATATATATATCAATTATATACAGTATTGGTCTCTCAGGCCCCAAATGTTTAGTAGGAATAGAAAAAAATTGGAAAAGAAAAGAAAAAACAACTAAAACAACAAAATAATATAATACGCATATGTGGAATTCGTCGATGTTGCCGCCACCACATCATTTTCTATAAACTTCTCGGCACTGTATCTCAGTAAGTAATGATCAGATTCTATTTTTTTTTGTTTTATTACCTTCACAAAAATATGCTCTTTAATTCTGTAAGAAAAAATAATTTTTTTTTTTTTCAAAATTTCTTGGACACTGGTGCGTGACTTCAGATTTTGGCCTTGGACCCTGAAAGGGTTAAAGTGCAGGCATTGTACTTTCCATTTCCTGGACTCAAGTCTAGTTAACAGGTTTCCCTGAATCCCATCACAAAATATTACCCTGCTAACATTCCAACAGCTCGTCAGGTCCCAAAAACCATTCGTCTCCATTCACTCCTAACACGCTCACGCATGCTTGCTGGAAGTCCAAGCCCCTCACCCACAAAACTTCCTCAACCCCCTCCCTCCAACCTTTTCAAGGATGACCCCTACCCCACCTTCCTTTCCCTATTGATTTATACACTTTCCAAGTTATTCTACTTTGTTTAATTCTCTCTAAATGACCAAACCACCTCAATAACCCCTCTTTAGCCCTCTGACTAATACTTTTAGTAACTCCACACCTCCTCTTCCACACTATGAATTCTCTGCGTAATATTTACACCACACATTGCCCCTAGACACTACATCTCCACTGCCTCCAGCCTTCCCTGGGTTTGCAGCATTTATAAACCCATGTTTTCACACCCATGTAAGAGAGTTAGTACCACTATACTCTCATACATTCCCTTCTTTGCCTCCATGAATAACGCTTTTTTGTCTCCACAGATACCTCAATGCATCGCTCACCTTTTTTCCTTCATCAATTCTATGGTTAACCTCATCTTTCATAAACCCATCAGCTAAGAAATCAACTCCCAAATATCTGAAACATTCACTTTTTCCATACTCCCTCCCTCCAATGTGATATCCAAATTTCCTTTATCTAAATTGTTTGATACCCTCATCATATTATCCACAGTAACTAAAAAAACTCTACAGCAATATGTATCTGTAACTACTTACCTCCTCCTCTAGTGAATAGGGACCATCATCCTCACTTGTATAGAGATGGTTTGGTCTTCTGGGCCAGCGACCACAAACTCCCATTCCTTCAGTACCATGGAAAGATGCTGAACGCAACAAGGACCCGGGTGGACTGCAAAACATGGTGAACATCATTAGGAAACAATTTTTTAAAAAATGAGAATACCAAATACTATTATTAAATAAAATACTGTACAGAAATTCCAAGAGGGTTACAGGATACCATTTTATATTAAGTAATCCTTTAAATACAATAAGAACATTTGCTTCAAACTGTACTTGTATGAAGTGAATAAACTAAATATTTACAGTATACTCATGCATGTTCCCAATTTTGGTGCGGGGGGCCAGTTGGCCCCTTCATGCGCAGGAACCCCTTTTGTTTGTGTTGTATACCCTTTTTAAAATTGTTGGGGGTTTGTGTCCATTTTATTGTGGTATTTTGTGTTTGGTGTGTATTTGTTGTGATTGGTATAGTAGTTGTGATTGTTGTGTTTTGTTTTTTGTTTGTTTTGGTTTGTTGTGTTTGTTGTTTGTTTGTGTGTAGTTGATTTTAATTTTGTGAATTTGGTTGGGTGCCTTTTTGCAAATTTTTATTTTTTTGGTGTGGGGGTGGGGGGTGGGGTGTTGAAAGGGTAAAAAGTGTGTGTGAAATTTTTTTGAGGTGGAAGTTTTGTGTGTGGTGGGGTTGTGGGTTTGTGGTGTGTGTGTGTGTGTGGTGGTGGTGGCTGTGTTTTTGTTTTTTTGGGTTTTTTGTGATTTTTTGTTTTATGTTTGGTGGTTTTGGTTGATTTTTGTTGGGGGTGTGGGATGTGTGGTTATGTGTGTGTGTTATTGATTTGTGTGGGTGTGTGGGGATTTTTTGTGTGTGATTTTTTGTGTGTTGGTGATGTTTTGTGTGGTGTTTTGTGTGTGTGTGTTTTTGTTTTGTGTGTGTGGGGTGTGGTGTGTGTGGTTTTGTGGTGTGTGTGGTTTTGTGTGTGTGGATTTTTGTGTGGTGTGTGTGATGTGTGTGTGGTTTGGGGTGGTTTTGTTCCCTATTTTTGTGGTTGCAGGGGGGGGTCGAGGGGGGGGGGTTTAAGGGGTTTTTTTTTTTTTGGTTTTTTTTTTTTTTTTATTTGGGTGATTGTTATTTTGGGGAGGGCCCTCGGTCTCGCTCCCCCGCCCCCATGATGCTTTTATCAAACCTCCCTCTTAAAACTGTGTATGGTTCCTGCCTCCACTACGTTTATTTCTAGGCTATTCGTGGTGGGGTTTTTTTTTTTTTTGTGGTGTTGTGTGTGTTGTACTCACCTGTTGAGGTTGCAGGGGTCGAGTCCAAGCTCCTGGCCCCGCCTCTTCACGGTCGCTACTAGGTCACTCTCCCGAACCATTGAGCTTTATCGTACCTCTGCTTAAAGCTATGTATGGATCCTGCCTCCACTACATCGCTTCCCAAACTATTCCACTTCCTGACTCTCTGTGGCTGAAGAAATACTTCCTAACATCCCTTTGATTCCCTCTGTGTCTTCAGCTTCCAACTGTGTCCCCGTGTTGCTGTGTCCAGTCTCTGAAACATCCTGCTTTGTCCACCTTGTCAATTCCTCTCAGTATTTTGTAAGTCGTTTTTCATTCCCCCCTATCTCTCCGTCCTCCAGTGTCGTCAGGTTGATTTCCCTTTTAAACCTCTCCTCATAGACATACCTCTTAACTCTGGGACTAGCCCTTGTTGCAAACCTTTGCACTTTCTCTAGTTTCTTTACATGCTTGGCTAGGTGTGGGTTCCAAACTGGTGCCGCATACTCCAATATGGGGCCCAACGTACACGGTGGGACAGGGTCCTGAACGATTCCTTATTAAGATGTCGGAATGCTGTTCTGAGGTTTGCCAGGCGCCCATATGCTGCGGCAGTTATTTGGTTGATGTGCCTTCAGGAGATGTGCCTGGTGTTATACTCACCCCAAGACCTTTTTCCTAGAGTGATGTTTGTAGTCTCTTGGCCCCCTAGACTGTACTCCGTCTGCGGTCTTCTTTGCCCTTCCCCCAATCCTCAAGACTTTGCACTTGGCGAGATTGAACTCCAGGAGCCAGTTGCTGTACCAGGTCTGCAGCCTGTCCAGATCCCTTTGTATTTCTGCCTGGTCTTCGATCGAATGAACTCTTCTCATCAACTTCACGTCATCTGCAAACAGGAACACCTCGGGGTTTATTCCTTCCGTCATGTCGTTCGCAAATACCCGAAAAAAGCACTGGTCCAGGACTGACCCCTGTGGACCCGCTGGTCACAAAGGGGCCCACTCTGACACCTTTGCCACGTACCATTACCCCGCTGCTGTCTTCCTGACAAGTTTCCCTGATCCATTGCAGTGCCTTCCCTGTTATCCCTGCTTGGTCCTCCAGTTTTTACACTAATCTCTTGTGTGGTACTGTGTCAAACACCTTCTTGCAGTCCAAGAAAATGCAAACCACCCACCCCTCTCCCCTCTTGTCTTACTGCTGTCACCATGTCATAGAACTCCAGTAGGTTTCTGACACAGGATCTCCCATCCCTGAAACCATGTTGGCTGCTGTTGATGAGATCATTCCCTTTCTAGGTGTTCCACCACACTTCTCTTGATAATCTTCTCCATGCCCTTTGCATACTTTTAACATGTCAGTGACACTGGTCTGTAGTTTAGTGCTTCATGTCTGTCTCCTTTTTTAAAAATTGGGACTACATTTGCTGTCTTCCATACCTCAGGTAATCTCCCTGTTTTGATAGATTGTTGAATATTGTGTTAGTGGTACACACAGCGCCTCTACTCCCTCTCTCAGGACCCATGGAAAGATTTTAATCCGGCCCCATCACCTTTGAGGTATTTTAGCTCACTCAGAAGCCTCTTCACTTCTTCCTCGGTTGTGTGTACTGTGTCCAAACTTGGTGGTGTACCCCCACCTCTCTGTCTTTCTCGATCCCTTCTGTCTCTTCTGTGAACACTTCCTTGAATCTCATGTTGAGTTCCTCACATACTTTGCGGTCGTTTCTTGTCTCTCTCCTTTCCCTTTCCCTTAGCCTGATTGCCTGGTCCTTGACTGTTGTTTTCCTCCTGTTGTGGCTGTAAACAGCTTCAGGTTTAGATTTGGGTTTCACTGCTTAATAGTTTTCATATTGCCGTTGGGCCTCCCTTCTTACTGTGCATATTCTCTGGCTCTACAACTGCCTCCTTATTCCCTGGGTCCTTTGCCTTCTACACCTCTTCCATTCCCTAGCACACTTGGCTTTTGCCTCCCTGCACCTTTGGGTAACCATGAGCTCATCCTTGCTTTTTCATTATTCATGCTACCCTTGGGTACAAGCCTCTCCTCAGCTTCCTTGCATATTGTTGTTACATATTCCATCATTTCCCGTTTACTGGCTTCCTGCCAGTTTTCTGTCCCACTGAACCCCATTCGGGGAAATTCCTCATTCCCGCATTGTCCCCTTTCTTATAGTTTGGCTTCATTTCGCTGGCCCTTCCTGCTTCCCCCTCCACTTGTAACTCTACTGTGTATTCAAGCTTAAAAACCCCATGATCACTGGCCCCAAGGGGTCTTTCATATGTGATGTCCTCAATATCTGCACTAAATCAAGGTGAATACTAGGTCCAGTCTTTGCAGTTCATCCTCTCCTCTCTCTGGTAGTATCCCTTACGTGTTGGTACATGAAGTTTTCCAGTACCACCTCCATCATCTTAGCCCTCCATGTATCTTGGCTCCCATGTGGCTCCAAGTTCTCCCAATCGATTTCTTGTGGTTAAAGTCACCCATGATCAGTAGCTTTTCCTGCATGCATGAGCCCTCTGGCCACTGCAGCCAGTGTGTCAACCATTGCTATACTGCTCCCCTCATACTGTTGCCTGGCCTCCTGCTGTTCTGTGGTGGGTTATACATCACTGCAATTACCACTTTGGGACCTCCAGACTGAAGCTTTCCCTACTATGTAATCTCTTGCTTCTCCACTGTCTCCTCTCTTTCCCGCTCATCAAAATTCCATCAATTTTGATCAGTAGTGCCACTCTTCACCCCCCCCCCGTTCCCTCTGTCTTTCCTCAGGATTGATATCCCGTTGGAAAGATGGCATCTGTTATCAAACCTGTGAGCTTGGGTTTTTGTGAGAGCTATGATGTCCGGTGATGCCTCTTTGAACTCTTTCGTGCCACCCCCCTCCCACTTTTTGTTATTCCATCAGCGTTTGTGTACCATACCTTCAGTCTCCTCTCCAACACTGAGTTTTTGGGGATGTCTGTGAGGGTGGGGGGCCTGGTAATGTACTGTGGGATTCTATAGCTGAGTGTTGGGTGGGAGCTGTGAGTATGGATTGTGTTTGTGTTTTGGGATGGTGTGATAGGTTGTGGGGTTCTGGAGATGGTTCTGCGAGTGCTTGCTCTTGGTGCTCTGCCCTGCACTGGTTGACCCCTGCTGATTCTGTCCTTGTCTCCCTTCCTAGCTCCTTTCTCTTTTTTTGTCCTCTCCCTCAGCTACTGTCATTCTGTTGTGCTCTGTCTCTGTCTAGGAACACCCTCTTGTATTCTGCCGAGTACTTCAACCGTGGTTTCTCTTGGAGGATCCTGTTTTGCACTGTTTCTGTCCTAAAAATCAGCTTGATTGGTCATTTTCTCCCCTTCTCCCCCCCATCTTTCCTGCCAATTTCCCTTTCGTGTGTGTCCCGTCCCTTTGCTTCTCCTGAAGCCCATGAAAAAAACACTGACTTTGCCCTTTCCTCCTCCCATTGCCTTTCCCTCTGTGACTCTGGTTCCTGTCTGTACATAGCCATTTTCTCCCTTGTTTCTTCCAGAAGCTCTTGGTAGCATAGTCGTGCAGAGGCACGACTATGCTACCTATCACTCTCTCCATCTGTGCCCAGTTGCTCTCCCCTTTCACTCCTTGGCCCTGCTTGGCAGGCTGATATGACCCTAGCATAATTTATATCTCCTTCCTTCCTGTTCGGCCTCCCAGCTTCATATGCTGTGTCTTATCTGGTCAATGCCCCTGTAACTCACTTCAGCCTGTTTACCTCATCTTCTGGGACCCTATTCCTGGGTACTGCAGTTTCGACTTGTGACTCCCAATTCTTCTTCTCCTCCAACCTCTTTTTCAATTTCACAGAAAGCTCCA